ATTGTAGTCTTTTCTTCTAGCGTTTTAAAACACTAATTTAAGCAACGTTATTTTGCAATTTTGATCTTTTGTAAACCTGGGATGATGTATCAAGGTCTGAAGTAACCGTTTTATCAATTTTTGAAAAATCAAGAAAAAAGTGAAAATTTCCCTTCTCGCTACCTTAAATGCAAGAAGGCCTCAACATTAGTCGACCGGTAAAATTCTGAAAGTTACGTGGAAGATACAACTTGAACAAAAACATTAGGCTCCAAGTCTGTTTCAACATACCGTCCCTCTGTGCAGTACCCCAACCAGTAATTACGCAGTTATTAAGTTCTTCGTACGTCTCTGCTAATGGAATTGTGTTTACCCCAACTCCTAATTGTACATCCTTTGACATTGTGATAACGGCCCAGTCACTGTGAAATTCCGAGGAGTCATAAAATTCACTCATTGTTATTTTCTCCACATCTATTTTACCATTAAGACTAAGTACGGCAGTATTAAGTAAAATGCCAAAACGTCCTGGCGCATTAACGTCACTGAAATGGAATAAAAGATATATAAAATAAAAATAGTTAATGATTTTCTCATCGCGTGCATGCGAGTATATGCAGAAAAGATAGTAGTACACCATGTGAACCCAATTTGTGGCTAATGATGTAATGCATAATATGATATTTTGGTCTATTTTAGAATAATCAACGGCAAATAAATTGCTTATTTGGTTGTCATATTTATTTTTCTATAGGAAGGACGAGTGTAATCTCGATAAAGTGCATATTTTTGTGATTTAACGATCTGCATTTTTGTACATTAATTGTACACTCCATATTTCACAGTTCGTGGAAATCTTTGATTTAGAATACTACATTATATCGATTGTCCGACATTTTATTGCTTCAACTAGAACAGGCACATGGAGCTACCATCGATGGCCAAATATTTATTTAAGCCTCCATGATTACATCTAATTTAATATCCATGTTGCAATTATGCCATCTGGTTTATTGAAGAACACTGCTTCGTGAAAAGTTACGATCACTTTAAACTTTAAAGCCACACATTACAGGCCCGAAACCACAGGGGCTTGTTAACTCATAGCAACTTTCGGGGCTTCGTCATGTCCATATGCCCTAAAGACGCAGTAACACTGAGAATCCACATAAACTATGCTTTATGTATTCTTAAAAGCTAGTCATATCTTATGTGTAGTAATATGAGGTTACTACAAGGATACTTTAAAGTATGCACGAAGACAATACGGTGGCAGTGTCGACGGCGTACTGTCTAAGTGCATACTTTGAGGTATCTCGTAATATTCTTATTATTATACATCTTTTCCTTCCATGGATACGTCATGGGAATGCCGAAATCCAAAAATTTAGAACAGAATCAGCGAACGTCTTTGTGAGGAGTCCGATTAAATGCTGGTGGCAGCCATGTTTGTTTTTATTATTAGAGGACGCTTACGCGCGTAATCATTCCATATTTGGAATTCGTATTTCCTTATATGGTAGGATAAACATACCCTGTAAACTACCTTAAAATGACTACACGTTGTAACTTATGGCGTTGCGGTGATAATAACTTTTCTATAACAATATAAAAGCCGTTTTTGTTTAGGGTAAAGGATTTTTGTTCCTTCGCGTATTGAATAGACGGCAACAGGGGTGGATCTTGGATTCTGGAATAGGAGGGCCGATAAGTTGGCCGAAGGCCAAGTTTGCGAGCGCCGATGGCGCGAAGCCCTGTTGGTTGTTAAAAATAGGGGGGCCGCGGCCCCCTTGACCCCAATCTAAATCCGCCAATGGGCAATGAAATGGAGGAAAGCGTAAAATTAGCATATTTAGCATGAAAACAACAAGGTAAATCCACGGACAAGATGATGTTCGATTGCGCGAGTTTAATAAATCTGATATAATATAATTTCTCGTGTGATAAATTTAGTGGTGTACATTACCCGTCAACACAATGCGCCGCCGTCAATACGTGTCGGTTACTGATAAGTGATCCCCCACAGATAAAATACCAATAATCACCAGACTTATACAACAAAGCTGCCTGCCATGGATAATCATTTATTTCTGCGTCAGTACCATTGTATATGTTTACCGAAATGTACCCGTCAATAGCTGCACACAATTAAAATGAAAAAAATAACGGTTTGTTATGTTAGGTTATTAATACGTAATCTTACGTCAGTTGGCCCTTGTTTTGTGGCACTGAATAAAAAACATAAACACAAATAAAAACAGTTTCTTCAATCTTAGAGTCAATTGTGTCTTATTGAATACGATTCGCATAGTAATTTATTCAAAACAGTGACGTCAGTAAAAAGAATTATGTATATAAGCTGTAGCAGTATCTTACCATGTAGCTCTATACTGCGGTTCTATATAGATTGATGAAATAAATGATAGAGCAATGTAAAATAATAAGTTAATAAACGTGGTGGCGCTATTGGCGCTTTGGTTTAATTACTACAGGGAAATACGAACAGCTGAATCCTGCTTCACATTGTTCACATAAACTGTCATATATATATATATATATACGGTGATAGAGGAATTAATACACAACTACATGAATATTGAAACTCAACAGCACTGTTTTGTAAGGTACAAGTACCTCACTCATCAGGAGCTTTATGTTTAATCATTCACTGCACCAAAGAGCATACATTGTAAGCTTCGCAAATTAACATATTAATTAAAATTAAATAGAAAGTTTAATTGTTACATATTAGAGCTTTTGATCTGTGTCGGCATGCTGACACGAGCTCATTTCTTTTGTTTAATGTGGAGTGGTGGGGTCTAAAAATTATGATGAATTTTTCTTTCAAACATAGAATACATCGTTTGCTGGATCTATTATACGGGCTACCGCGAGCAAGAATTTTCCATTGTATTTTATATTCAATATCTTTTTCTTTGAGTGACCAGACGTGTTTACTTAGTTCTGTCGCATTTCTGGAGGCCTGATTGCGAAATGAGGCCGTGTGGTTTCTGTATCTTGTTTTGAACTCATTACCAGTAAGTCCGACGTACAAGATTACATAATGATAGTAATTGCATGATATTCTTTTGTTAAATGATGGTAATTGCATGATATGTTATTGTTAAATGATGGTACTTACAGGATACAATTGCCCAGAAATCTCCGAGCAGAATGCAACGATTACTATCAGGTATATATACTGGAAATCCATTATAGTATCCTGTCATAAAAAGTCAATAATGATCAGGGTTGTAAAAAAAAGTACACGACGGAAAACTCTTTGGGCAGAGTACTTGTCCATGTAAACTATGACATACGTTTTTTAGCAGCAAACCATGACGTGATTTAAGGGGTTAATAATTAATTTGCACCACGACTGAATATATTTTGTTATGTAAATATTATAGAGGAGTGCTTCAAGTACAATGTTCTTCGTTTTTTGGCAACTATAATTTGTTTTTATGTAGCCCTATTTCAAATGTTTGGACGTTAATATCTGAGTAAAAACAACATGTCTCAAAATAAAAATAAGCAGAAAATCTAGACGAAGGCAGGCAGAAAAAAATCCAGGAACATTCCTCCAGTACTCTATATAGCGGTAAAGTCAAATTGCGACGATCTGCCGTTTTGTTTGTTAGAAATTGCGTACTGAATCTGTAGAACTACGTAGAAATCAATTTCAAGATAAACGCAAAAAACGTTCAAGGTCAATGAATCTTAAACTATGCCTAAAAATCTTGAAAAATATGAAGTTATAATTATTGAAACATGTCTGCCAAGCGACCAGCTACTAAATAGTGCCTTCTAATGTCGGGGCTAAATGTTATACGCGTTAAAGACAGGATGAAATATGTTTTGAAATCTCAGAAAGGTCCAAATAAAGAAAAAGGATGTCTTCAATTTGTTTTGATAACTGTTCACTGTAAAACTGATCATGTAGCTAAGACACTAAAAAAGTGTGTTTTTGGTCGTAGCAAGCGTGCGAACACGGTTCTTTTTTAGTAACCGTGGTGCGAACAAAAGAAATGACTTCGCCTTTTTTTTTGCTCGCTTTTGAGACCGGTTTTTGAATTCGACTGGACAATTTCCGCTTTATTTTCAATCGCGAAAACTCCGAAATATCACCACCCGCTCGCTCGCAGACGGAAAATTTCGAAGGTTCACATTGTTTTATAATTGTCGTTTTGGTTCTTATAGATGTTGAACAGCCGACAAAAGTTCAAATACTTTTTGTTTTAACTATCTATAATTATATGCACGCAATCTGACCTTTTGACCTCGATTTGGCTTGGAATGAATAATTTATTTTCAACAATATTCTGAGGTGAAATACAAAATGTATTTCAACACATGTACGACATGGTTGTGTGGGTTTTCTTCCCCGATTGTTGATTCTTCGCAATGTGTTTACGGTTTGTATAATTATTGTTGTTTTCCCCCAAGGCGAAGACAAGCTGAAGGACCATGAAGCTAAATGGCAGTTCCATGCACGAGCTGAGTGTAAGAAAATATTTCTAAGCCTGGAATAAAACCTAATATTACACCTCTTTGTGTATTTGTTAATGTTACATATGTTTGTCATGACAGTATGTTTGTAAATATCTAGAAAAATCTCCTCTTTCGTTGATAATTTCCATTGTTTTTTAACGTCTGTCGACCGGGCCCCAATAATTTGTTTGGAATTTCGATCCCCGTTGGTTTCTCCATACTGAGTTTAGAACGGGCGTTGGTCCCGACGTCTGGCATTTAACACAATCAGCCGAGACAGGACAAACATTGACCATAATTCATGAAGATCATGTCCTGTGATTTGTTGCCTGAAAACCCAAGTAATTAAACAAGTATTATTATTATATATATTTCATTTTACATCGTGAAACTACAACAGAGGGGTTTTGACCTCAGTTCAGAAAAAAAACTAGGCTGAGTCCACGGCGAGTTTTCTTTGTTAGTTCTTTATCAGTGAAATAAGGTAAACCAGAGTAGGGTCGATGATTTTCCGCCCTGAAGGACTTCGAATTGTTCATCGTCTGGCAACCAAATATTTATGGCTTTAACTAAATTTGACACGTTTTTTCTGAAGCCTAATAAATTATTCATGTATGTCAAGCTCTGTTCTATTTTTTCAGAGCATGTGGCCATTTTAGTCAAAAATATTTGTTGTGGGAACACTTTTACGGTACGTATAGATCGAGCTCATTCATGATCGTTACTTAATTTTGAAAATTGGATGTCAAATTTTACCAGACTGTGGACCGACGTGGTTTTGGTATCGTCGAAAGAAGTTATCTCTTTTCACGTAACTGTCTTAAATTTAATATTAAATTTAGAACAAGCACCCAAAACACGTAACAAGAAGACCCAGTTGAGTTGCTTTGACGATACAAGTGTCATGCAACTATTAGATTTGGGAAACAACCATTTCGACTACTCATGTGTGATCAGTGTTTGGGGGAGCGGTCGGTGTTTTCAATGAGCGAGCGAGCGAAAAAAGAGTGATTAAAATGCGGTCGGTCGGTCGCGGAAATTAAGCAATAAAGCAATAAAGCAAAGTCATAGATATTGTCATAACTATCAATAATTTAAAATAAAAAAATATTAAACTTATGCTAACCCCTTAAAGCATTCCAACATATAAAATAGGACATATTTGACAGCTGGTTCTCCAAACATACGCTTTTTGAGAAATAACTTTTCTCTATTTTTATTCAAATCACCTCCATACCTTGACTGATTTAGTAAACATTGTAGTTTCCGACAAACGTTCGTATATAGGCATGCATATCAACATGTAATGTATCTTACCTTCACTGTATTGGAACTTCAATGCAGCAAAACGTTTCCACTCTGAATGAGTCATATGAATACTGGTACAATACGTTGTTTGTGTATTTTATGCACACTGACGTTGTCAATCAAAATATCACAGACAATGCCCAGAACAGTGCTTTTTGTTTTTTTGTATGTATACATTTTATCCAATATGTCAATTTCCAACATAATAGATCGTGGAATATGAATTACATGTCACTCACCTTCACTGACAGTGACATGACACCAGAAGCATCGTGTGATTAATGTAGCTTCGTAATCTAACATTGTAGGATTTAGGGGATTTGTAAATCCTCTATTCCTACCATAGAGTCTCAGCGTATTTTAGAATCATAACATAGGGATAACTTCAAATACCTGAAGGAAAATACAGTAAGTAAGCACAGTAAACGAATGAATCACAAAAATACATGAACAAATCATCAAAGATAATGGACGTCACGATATACAGCCAAACTGTGATGTACAAAAGTGTAATGCACTTTCATGACGCTTTGTTTATTATGTAAATTATGTGCTACCAAACATGGTGTAGTGGATGTGATATGATCTATTTCTATTTCAAACAGTATGGCCGACCATTGTCAACTTCAAGGTAGATATATAGGTACGAAGTGAAAAAGAATCAAAACTAGGAGTTCCTCTCAAGCCTCCTTATTATACATTATACTTTCATAAAACAGTATTCAATGTCAAGACTTTTACACAGTTTGTGTATCTGTTTGCTTGTAGAGTTGACACAATATTCCAATTGCAATGAAGTTCAGACTTTTGTCGAATCTCTCATTTCTTTCCTTATGAACTTACCACTGCGAAAGTAATTTTAATCTTAATCTTTATTGGAATGTCAAAATCTGCATATAATTAGTTAATTGTGATGATCACCCTTTCCTCGCCAATAAATGTGACCAATATAAATGCCTAAGGGACGACGTCAAAAGATCGATGTCGGATAAAAAAAACTTAATTCCTTTAGTTATTTTCCAAACCCCTTACCCCCCACGGAAACTTAATTGATAAGTATTGGTCATGGCGTCAGACTACATTCACCATTAGATACAAATTGATAATCGGACAGTAGTATTGCATAGCAGTTGGTTGTCGGGTGGGTTTAAAACGTATTTACAAATGCACCTCATTTGACGCATATTTATCAGTGTCAATCAAGTAAATTACCTGTTATCAGATGACGAAAGAAATAACTAACCTGTTATCAGTGTCCTAAAAATATAGCGTATTGCTTTCGGTACAATGTTAAACAC